GAACAGGAAACCTTCAGCGCCTAGACCTCCTAGTTACACATCCGATGATGGTGTCGATTACGTGATTCAAGCTCAACCACGACCTTTCACTACCCGACATGATACGGAAGATGCAGCGCGTCAGTAATGCGTCGCGTCCGTAGCTCGCCCATGGCGTGCTGTTTATTACTTTGCTTTGAAATGTTTTGGCATAGCGCATTTTGTTACTCGAGATATCCCATGTTGAGACTTGTATCATTGCATCAGTATATTTGATTTAGAGCGAACATTTCATCCGGCTGCTCGGTCACTGTCGGCATCAAAAATGAAATTGTCCAAAAATACACAAAGACCAGTCCTCAGCTCCTTTACGAGAGTTTCTTGTGCTAATATCAGATAAATTAAAAGTAAAATCTTAGACAGTGCTTGCGCTGCTGGCGTGTATGGAAACGGCATATCTGGCCTTCAGTAACTGTCTTAGCCAACCGCCAGCCAACCGTTGGCGCGGGATGAATTTAAATCTCACGTGCGACATTATTATTGCCACGAAACAACATTTCTTCAAGTCTCGAGGGGCCCTCGATAATCCGGTAGTACCTCCGAGACCTCTGACTTATCTGACGAGAGAAGAGAAATTCAAGTTCCCATGTCATCTGCGGCTGGTTCGCTTCTGCGGTAATGCGCTCGGGATGTTGGAGCTTACAGATGTCCGACCTTCGATCAGCATGCATGATTTGGGTCTCACTCCTGTCGCTATGGCTCGCCATGGCTCAGGGTATGAGGACTTCTCAGATAAATGAACTCAGGTATTTCTCTCTGGTAGCTCTGTTGTCGTTTTGCCTTGCAATGAGCGCCACGCTGATCAAATCAATGAGCTCAATTCAGGAAAGAGACCGAGCACATGTTCTACCACGGATTCGAGAATTATATGAAATACGCGTTTCCGGAAGACGAGCTGCGTCCTTTATCCTGTCGTCCGCTTGTTCGCGATCGTGATAACCCCGCGCATGCTGAGCTCAACGACGTCCTGGGAAATTACTCCCTTACCCTGATTGACAGCCTATCCTCGTTAGCGATATTGTCATCTAGTCCGGATGAAGGTGAGAGAGCTTGGGACCACTTTCAAAACGGAGTGAGGGATTTTGTCAAGCTATACGGGGATGGCTCGGATGGCCCTGCTGGTCAGGGCGAACGGGCAAGGGGGTTCGATATTGACAGCAAAGTACAAGTCTTTGAGACCGTCATTCGAGGGCTAGGTACGGTATTTCCGTTCCGTCAATGGTTATGACGGCTATTGTATCTGACATTGAATTCCGGTATAGGTGGATTGCTCAGTGCCCATCTCTTCGCCGTTGGTGACCTCCCAATCACCAGATATACACCGCCAGAACTAGAAGCCACCTTCGCCAAGGCATGGAACAAATCAGCGTTTTCAGGGCACGATAATGGCATCAAGTGGACAAATGGATTTGTATATGATGGTCAGCTCCTCCGGCTCGCTGCTGATCTGGCAAATCGTCTTCTACCTGCCTTCTATACGGACACTGGTCTTCCATACCCTCGAGTGAATCTGCGGCACGGCGTTCAACGGCGCCCGTTCTATGCGAACTCACCATTGAATGCAGATAAACAATGCCATGGGTCCGATCGTGAGGTCTGTCGAGAAGACCGTCAGCGCGCTCCTTCAGAGACCACGGAAACTTGCAGTGCGGGTGCAGGCAGCCTAGTTCTCGAGTTCACGGTTCTGAGCAGGCTCACCGGTGATGGTCGATACGAAGAACTTGCGAAGAGAGCATTTTGGGCTGTTTGGGCGCGAAGAAGTGACATTGGATTGATTGGTTCAGGAATAGATGCGGAATCAGGTCGTTGGGTTCATTCTTATACCGGGGTAGGTTTTTCTCGGAATCTGTTTATACCGAATACTCACTGACACTGATGACTATAGATTGGCGCTGGTATCGACAGCTTTTTTGAATACGCTTTCAAATCGTACGTCCTGCTCTCGTCGGGACAACGCTCCTCGCATGATCCCAGAAGTCCCTGGCAGGCCCTGGATGGTTACTTCCCGCCGTTGAGTGAATATGAGCACTCGGCGGAAGCCTTCCTGCGCGTGTGGGAAGAGTCTCATGCGGCTATCAAACGGCATCTATATCGGGGAGAGGGTTATCAACATCCGCATGTGATTCAAGGCGACATTTTTACCGGCGCCACACGGGCATTCTGGATCGATAGCCTGAGCGCTTTCTATCCAGGCCTTCTTTCGATAGCAGGGGAGCTGGACGAGGCCATAGCTATACACCTTTTGACGACAGCAGTCTGGACCCGATTCTCTGGCCTTCCTGAAAGATGGAACGTTGCCACCGGGAACATTGAGGGTGAGCTTGCTTGGTACGGTGGCCGTCCGGAGTTCATTGAGTCCACATACTACATATATCGGGCCACCAAGGATCCGTGGTATCTCCATGTTGGCGAAATGGTACTCCGGGATCTCAAACGCCGGTGTTGGGCGAAGTGCGGCTGGGCCGGTCTCCAGGACGTCCGCAACGGAGAGTTGAACGATCGAATGGAGAGTTTCTTTCTAGGAGAGACTGCCAAATACTTGTTTCTCCTATATCACCCTGACCATCCTTTGAATAATATGGATCGTCCCTTTGTCTTTTCAACCGAGGGTCACCCGCTTATTATACCTACAAGTACCGGTGCCAGCGCCCATCAGCATACGAAGCAGGCGCAGCATGAAGAGCTGGTCTATCTATCAGTTTGCCAGTTGGCACCTCAGCCACCAACATTCGGTCTATCCTCAACGGCGGCACGTCCTGATGTTTTCCATGCTGCAACTTTGGCTCGTTTGCACCTAATGCCGAGCAGAGGCCCAACCGAAGGACCTATCCTAGAGTATGCGCATGACCATCCTAGTGTGACAGTGTCCGATCTATCTTCACCGACCAACTACACGTTTTACCCGTGGACTCTTCCCCCTGAATTGGTGCCCTTCAACGCAACAAGCTCACCAATGACCTCGCGACCCACACTCGACATCTCTTTCCCCGCCATTCCGGGTATGGTCATGGGTCCCGGGTCAGTTGAGCGGGTTCGGGACGGCATTTTCATTAAGAACATCGGAGGCCTTCGATTGAGCATGGTTCAGGATGTGCCGTCACACGACGCGACTGGGAAGGCGAGCCAGGATGATTTCCGTGTGCAGGTGATTAACAATGTGCCGTTGGGCAAAGATGAGAAGGTATACCTCTCACGAGAAATCACCTTTGATATCCTCGATCCCACTGATCCGAATTTCACTCGGATGCGCGACTCTGCCATGATTGACATCGTCATTGACGTAATGCCAGACCTTCTCCGTCGAGGAAATGATTCGAATGGTAGTCGCGAACGAGGTGCTGCGGAGCATAGTCAAAACCATGTCATCCGAGAAAACGCATCCATCGACGACAAAGTCGGCAGCGTCGACCCTTCGAATTCCGGAATGAAGAATGTGTTCTCATCTTTAATGGACACAGTGTCTTCACTACTGCGGGACGAGAATCCAGGGTTGACGACCCAATCATCCTCGAGAAAGTCATCTATTGTACGGTTGAGCCTGCCAGCTGCCGTATCTAGCGGCACAGGCTCGGCTCCCGTCCCAGAGGTGGAGGACGCCTCTATTATATCCATCTCGGGAGAGCCGTCTAGAAGTCGCCTGTCGTGGTCCACCATTTATTTTGCTGATGAGACCTGTGACCATCGAATCTTGCGGGAGATTGTTCAAAGTCATCAGGTCCTGGTCATCAAACGAGGCGGGTGCAGCTTCTCTCAAAAACTACGCAACATCGCCGCTTACCCACCGTCGCGACATGCCCTCAAGCTTGTCATTGTGGTTGATTACGATGAGACGACTTTCGCGGAGGCTTCAACGTCCAAATCTTCCCCTTCTGCAGGTCTGGCCGCCATTCGCGCTGAACCGTTTCTTATCCGGCCGTTGTTAGACGAGCCGCAAATGACCGCAGGAGGCCTTCCCCGTCGCCATCCTATTAGCATGGTGATGGTTGGCGGCGGTGAGGAAACCTACGAGTTGCTGCGACGAGCGACAGGTGTTGGTATTAAGCGACGCTATTCGGTTCGCTCTCAGGGCATACCGATAAATAATCTGTATATAGTTTGAAGATGTCCATAGGCATCTACCAATACTACAAAGATATACGACTCCACGACGACCGATGATCCTCACGAAGTTGGAACCATTCTGGAACTAGTCAGAACCTCCTCCTAACTTTTTGGCCCTCTTGAGAGTTTGGATTTCTTCTCAGGCTTCAACACCTGCACTTTGGGGGGTCTCGATTGATTTTTATGATATACGAACTGTTTAGAGTCCAACAGGCAACGGGACAAAGCGCATGGACAGACACGCTCCATAATATACAGGAGGACTTGTGATAGTTCCTGATAATTTTGCTAGCAAAAGCCAAAGGCTATGCGTTGCGACCCAACAGTAAACAATTGTAGACCGCGTAGGACCAGTCGACAGGTCTCTGAAATATCGCGTCCGGAAGCAGAATGGTATCAGTCGCGACATATTATGTTGGCAACACATCAAATCAGTTCAAATTAAGGAAGGAAATCGAGTAGTAACTCCGAAGACGGATAGCATATTCGGCTGTTATTATGAGTGTCAGAGTAGCACTAACAAAATCATTGCCCAGATCGAGCCTATCGTACATAGACTGAGGAACGGTTGGTTAGTTGTGGCAACAATGTCCCTTGTATTGACGGACCCACGTGGCTCTCTGATCTGATAAGACGATAGGGTGTCGATTACGTAATCAGGTACTGGATCCAAATAACCGCATTGCATTCTGATTGGCTGATAACACAACCCCTGACCCACTCAGTTTATAGTCTCTGGCCCTCGGCTGATTGAAAAATCGACTCCTCACCCTCAACGATTTCAACTCGTCTGTTATCTAGTCAAACTACACTGGGTTCACTGTTATCAACTTCTAAAATCATCCAGTAAAGAATTCGCCATGCTGGTTCAACCTCCCACCGAGACCCCCACGGTCGACACCGCACTTCTAAAAGACGAGACCATCACCACAACGGTGGCAGTATCCGAGACCCCTCCACCCCCGACCGTCCGGCCCCTCTACTTCGCATACGGCTCCAACCTCTCCTTCACACAGATGCGCCTCCGCTGCAAACACAATCCTACCCTCTCCTCGAAGCCCGTTGCCATCGCCCGACTCGACCACTGGCGGTGGATGATTTGTCAGGCCGGATACGCGAACGTATTGCCGCCGGCAGAACTGCAGACCGGAAGCCAACTTAGCGAAGGAGACGAGGTCCCCGTGTCGGGGGCTGAAGATGCCGTATTCGGGTTGTTGTATGAGATGGATCCGGAGGATGAGTTCTTGCTGGATGGGTATGAGGGTGTGGATCATGCGGCGGGGCCGTCGAGGCTTGGCGGGAAGGTGTCTGTTGAGATTCGGCCGAGGGAGCAGGGCCGTGGGGATTATAATAAGTGGTATGTTCCGGCAACGGTGACGCGGTGGCTGGATGAGGAGCAGCGCGCGTTGAGGATTGGTGCGACTGCGGTGGCGGGGTCGGGGCCACAGGTCACGACGGTGCTGGTGTACGTGGATGAGGAGCGGGTGCGGCTGGGCTTCCCCAGGGATGAGTACGTCCCACGCATGAACCGGGCGATTCGGGAGGCCGAGTCGATCGGGTTCCCGAAGCACTGGGCAGACGAGGTTATGAGAAAATCAATACCGTTGAATTAGTTCCTTGAACCTTGAGGGTGGCCTGCATGAGTCTACGGAGTTACGATACCATGATTATAAGTTGCAATCTAAACAAGCAGATGCATTGATTCAGAGGTATATAGCAAGATATCTGTCTATGAGATGTTTCAGGATTGCAATTCTTTCAAAGCTGACCGTAGCTGTAGACCCGGGCACGGAAACTCTTTGCCCTCTCTGACGATACGGAAACCGCATAGAAGCCAAGCACTTGTGCTCGAGCCTCAGCAGACTTCTGCAGTACCATGGTGGAGCAGAATCGGCCCATTTGTAGGGACTCAGACACATAAAAATTGACCCGCAAGCATTTGATTTGCGGATGGTACTGTACTGCGTCGTAGGGCCAAGCTTCACCCGATGCAAGTGGCTGCTGTATCCTCGGAGATTGTTCAGACTAGTCGGCAACGCATCATCTCAATTAGTGTCGACCCCTTCGAGACGGTCGAGTTCAAAAGCGGACCAACTTTTTCGGCGATCATTTGTTTTGTTTGCGAATGTTCATTTTAGCACATTAGTGACAGGGCAAGTCGGGTGCGAGATCATTAAATATAAGGCATTTGATCCAATCATGCCCGATTGTCAGATAGACAATCACAGATATTTGGTCTCCTGGCCGGAGAGAAGAGTGTACACCGGGGCAGGGAGCTTATCCCGTCCATTGAGGAACTCCAGCTCCAGGATGAAAATGAATCCCATGAGCTCTCCGCCCATTTTCCTGATGAGCTCTCCGGCAGCGTAGGCAGAGCCGCCTGTAACCAAGTCAATTAATGTTGAAGAAGAAGTTTATCTTCCTGAATCAATCGAACTCACCGGTTGCGATTATGTCATCGACAACGATAACCTTCTGGCCGGGCTTGATGGCGTCGGCTTGCATCTGGAAAAAGTCCTGGCCGTACTCTTTCTCGTAGCCTTGGGTCTCACAAGGACCGGGCAGCTTACCCTTCTTGCGAACAGGGACAAAGCTAGCGCCAAGTCTCAAGGCCAAGCTGGGACCGAAAAGGAAGCCTCGAGCCTCCAGTCCAACGATAACATCGGGCTTCTGGTTACCGTGGGTTTCGAGAATGTACAGTTCGAGGCAACGGAGGAGGGCTTCGTGCAGGGTAGGATCGGCGAAGATAGGAAGAATATCCTCGAAGAGAATGCCAGGGGACGGGAAGTCGGGGAATTGGCGCAGAGCGGCGCGGAGTCTTACTTTAAGACCGGAGAGTTCGGTGGTGCGGGAGGGATGGGAGGAGGGGTGTCCGGCGACTTGGGTGGCGGCGGCATCTGGAGTTTGCGTGGACTGGGAGGGAGTTGACTGGGACATGGTGAAGAAGAGGGAAAGGAAGAGCAGGAAACGAGGAAAGGGGTGATAAAAAGGAGGTATTATAAAAAAAAGAGAAAGAAAGACAGGGGATGAGGGGGGAGGGAGATCGGAGGAGGGAAAGGGAAAAAAAAGTGTAAAAATAAGTCTGGACGGATGTGATAAGCCCAAAAAAATATGCAACGATCGCTGGGTGGGTGGGATGGATGTATTGGATTTACAAGGTTGCAGTTTGACTTCTCTCTCATTCCAAATCTCGATCTCGACCTCAAATCATGTATATACTATAATGATGGATGTTTTATCCAAGTCTATATACAAAGAAACTGCGCATATGTCTCTTTTACGAATCTCAAGGGCTTTATCGCTGAAAAGCAGTAAGAGGGCAAGGTGACCATCCATCACCGAGGACAAAAGTACATACAGAACGGTACCTTACTACTAACAAGCCCCTCCACGCGAAGTCATGTTATTTCAAGATCAATAATACCTTTAATATTACATCAAGAACCCCTCTATCTATATGATTGGAACAGGCAGCAGAGTCTAGAATCCCTCCTCGTCCATCAATTAATTATATTCACCATCAGCCCATCTACAGGGATAAAGAGAATGTATTAGCAGACACTCGTGGTGGATTTTCCTTTCCATTTCTCTTCATTATTATTTGCAAAAAGCATAGATTGCAAGTGCCATGCCACCTTGTGAGACACGACAGAGATCACTCTTCTGCCCCTCTTCATGGATTAGTCTATGTGTCTATCTATCAAAGAATGCTCCTCTCTGCGCGTATTTTAGTGTCATCATGCAAGTTTTCGCCATAACATGAATACATGATACGCTAGATTCAAAGCCCCTCCCCTCATCTGCGGCTCGGAACATTTCCCACCTTCTAGGCTGTCTCTCATGCTGTGACTCGAAGGGTAGGCGATGTGAACTGCATTCTATATTGATTCCTGATATTTGTATCTCAATTGACATATCTGGGCGTACTAGTAACAGACTCACTGGTATTCACCGTCAATCATTACTTCTACTCATACGCCACCGTCCTTGAGACGTATCTGTACAGTGTCCTTCTCCAACTTGCGGTCTGAAGCTTGTGGATCCTTAGGGACTGATCCCTCCGCTACTACTGCGAATTCTGGTCTCTCAATTGTTGTCTTCTGGTCTATCTACCTTAGTGGAGGGTCAAGCTAGTGCGCTCTGAACATATGCTCGGACTGAAAATCGTCCTGATCAAGCTGCCACTCAAGTTGCCCAACAAATTAATATGGCTTCTCCACTTCCGCCAGCCACTAGATAATTGTTGTGTTATTGTTGCATCGTCCGCATCGGACGAGTACCACCAATCAGACAGAAACAGCTAGCTATGTTTGCATGCTGTGCATTGGAGATACCTCTACCGTTATGTAGCAGTAGTAACTTGGATTGTCTTCCTGACATCTATAATATCTGTAGATATCTGACTATGTATGACCACTCGTGCTGCATCAATACTGCCTCTCTCTTCATCATCTCCAGATTATCTGCATTCAAATTTGCATGGTAAAGTGATACAAGTGATACACGGTTCAGCAAACGGATGCATATCATACATGATCCGGTCAAAGGTAAACACGATGTCGCAGGCCCAAGGGCCATAGTGGCATCCGGAAAGCGTGAGAGGGGGAAGATAAAATCGTCAAGGAATCGCAGCCCATTGGTATCATACAACTTGTGGCTTGCAGGTCAGATCGGGCTCGTATGCTGACAAGGACAGCTTTCCCACAGCTTGTCCACTTCCACTCCAGTTATACTGGGCGAATATATCAAGATAAATGGATTAATATCCGCTGAACACCCGTCTTAGCGTCTAGCAAGGGTTCATCATCCATCGTGCAACGCTCGGATTACCCGAATGGACTACCTCCTGTCGTTTCCGCACTACGGAGTCTAGTCTCCTCGCCAGACCACTTCAGAAAGCCTTCGTTCTTCTTCCAATCTCGGCCCCCGTCAGGATGTGGTTAGAATAGCAGGGATACCTGATTATCGTATGCAACCGGGCATCTGCTACTGGTATTCCATTAATGAAGAGGAACTTCGTACATGTGCTTAACACTTTACAATCGATTACTAGGTAGTTAGCATGTGCAAGGATCCACTGTTCCGCATATGCCTCGCCCTGTAACAGCAATAATAGTCCATACATTTGGACAATTCAGGAGAAAAGATGGTAGAAGTAAACATTACGCAAAGGGTCCTGTACCTGCCTGGTACTTGACATCCGTGAAGCCTGTCGCTGTGCTACCCTGCTACATACCTCGTACTTGCGGGCTTCTGGTTACAGCAATGTCCCCGCCCTGCAGCGGCTGCAGCCATCATGCATTTTTTGAGACCGGTGCACACTACTCATGTGTGGCGTACATGGGGCTCTGAGTTGTAGCTGTATCACAGGCAATCCGATGTTTGGAACACTTATTGAGATCAGGCCGTTGTTACTTCGACTTCGACAGGGTTATTTCTGTGTCCTGCCTGTCTTCATGCATAGTGTCGATCCATTTGGCGCGCTTTGGTTTGATACTTCAGCGACGGAGTAGGGTACCCAAACTGGACAGCATCGCACGTCAGGGGCTGGCGCAAAGACCGCATAAATAACCCTCTACCCCTACCCTACTCTCTAACTTGGTCCAATTTGATCAGCGGGACGGAATAAGTTGGACTGAATCAGGCAAAAAAGATAGCCGAACGCGGGGGTCGAACCCGCAACCTTGAGATTAAGAGTCTCACGCTCTACCGATTGAGCTAGCCCGGCTGCTGCTTTAGTGGTTTGTTCGCGGCTAAAATGTTCCATGGGGAACATGTGATCAATGCACAAAATTACCCTACGCGTTACGGTTGTCGAGCCATGGACTGTGGGATTAGAAACCATATTGAGTCATCAGCTTCTGTGAGCTACTGTCGTCAGAGGCATCTGTTGTCATTTGTGATCCTCAAGCCACATGGTCCTGGCGGTCTCCTCCATACTTCCTACTCCAGCCTGGTGGTGGCTTGAAGACGCGAGGGCAGCCAGCGTTAACTGCTCTATGGATTGTCGAATGCCTGCCGCTCCTTGACAGTTACGCCATTGACAGTTCAGAGTAATCGGAATCGACTGAGGGGAAGAGGATGGGATGGGAGTTGTAACAGAGGGTTGTCCATGATATGGACTTGCCAAAACAGGAAAACAAAAATCGAAGCCGAACGCGGGGGTCGAACCCGCAGCCTTGAGATTAAGAGTCTCACGCTCTACCGATTGAGCTAGCCCGGCTGCYGCTTTWAKKRCRGCGGCACAAACTATTGCTCTATTAGACAGTCACAATACACATTGAAAAAAAGCAAAAATGRAAGCCGAACGCGGGGGTCGAACCCGCAACCTTGAGATTAAGAGTCTCACGCTCTACCGATTGAGCTAGCCCGGCTGCCGCTTTAATGACAGCCGGCGAGGAATTTGAATACATAAACCATAAGGAAAGTCAGCACGTTAGCTGGAGGTCTGATCTTCTGATCTCGACCATTCACAATACCATTTTGCCATATGGGCTGGGGTTGGAGGATATTCAGCCGAAATATGATAGCTTATGAACTACCTTGTATTTCGTATGATTCCGAGCAAAATTGCCCCCTCAACGCGATGCTAATTGGTTTTATATGGGACATGTTGAACGATATATATTCGCATGTTGTTGTTGCTTGTCTCCAACATTCCTTGGAGATATAGAATCAGCCATAGCATGAATTGGCCACGAGATAAAGTAGCGCTTGGATAGTCACTAGAGCCCACTGGCGTCACTCAGCACCATATCCAAATAACAATTGTTCGGCATTGGCAAGGACATAGCGTCCTTTTATAACTGTATGGGGAAGTACTACGGAGTATGCAGACTCCAAGAAGCATACAGAGAACGCATCACGCAGAGACATCATGAACAGAATTTACCAAAGAGCAAATCATATAGACAATATTGAGCGAAACACAGGCGAGATATAATAGTATACTTGTCAGATAGGTGGCCACCTTGAAGACGGCGATATACTTGCAGAGCGAACAGATACCACGTGACTAAAATGCACGGACCAGTTCGCTTAGAAGTACGCTAAAACAGCTTCAGGCATCAGTACAAAAACCCCGTTTTCTTTCTTCTTCTTACTGATCTCCTTTATGATTTTCCAAGCCGCGCTTCTGGGTCGAGCAGAATGTGCTACATGAGACCGTTAGATGTACTGTCTCATACTTAGTAAATATCTTCGCTCAGAGCAATATGTCACTCGCCTCTGCTGTCAATGAAATGCAGCAGGATCTGCAGCTGCAAACTCTAGCTCGATCTTTCGAAGCTCTCCTGCTTACCATTCAACACCTAGGCTGCAAGGAAAGAGATCTGCATCGGAGGCTGAAATATGCACATGATGAGGTAAATTCCTATTCCACCTGCATCCTTATTGCCAAATACCCCTCCCATGTTGTCTCAAATGACGAGAAAATCGATTAGCTCTAGATCAGGAGTCGCTTCTGCGGCGGTGACGGATAAAGTCATGTATTATCTGATGAGACTTTTGAATAACCTCTGTTGATTGCACTGTTCAAAATCACACATATGCTGACGTAATGTGCAATAGTACCTCAAGTTAGCAGATCAACTTCCTAATGAAACCAATACACACACCAAGATTGTCGCGGAGAAGATACTTGGTCGACATCCCGAATACGAAGCCCTTCATAACCAATCCCTAAATCCCCTGGATGTAATCAAGGCACTTTCAGACTCTGGAAACGTAGGAAGCGAGGCACTTACTGCCATAAAGGAAGGACTGGAATGCTGCAGATCAATAAACCGCCCCGACAATGATAAGCAGCTTCCCGAGCTCAGTTCATGTTATGTTGCGACCAGAGCTGGCGTACCAGGCAACCTAGAAAAAGACTTCACCACCAAGGGCACGCAGGGAAGTTTGCGTTGTCCCTTTTCGAAGCCTAACAATAAGCCCTCTGAAAATGGGGAGTCCAACGGGATTGAGGATGCCTTTGCTGCCCAGAACGGTGATACGTGCGGGCACGAGGACCTCGATCCCATTAAAGCTGAACAGAATGATAGACGCTCTAGTTTAACGACATCCGCAAAGTCGAGTTCAACCAGGTGCCCTGTTTCTAGGTGTCCAATCCGATTCATGGACAAGCATAGTCCTGAGGAAATTGCCGACTATGTCGAGAGACACAAACACGAGATCCCGCGCAGCCATGCAATATGCGTTCAACGTTACCAGAAAGATTCTCAAACGATGCGGCAACTTGACGCAAAGTATGGTAATCTTATCAATATGATCCAAGGCTTGTCAGTCAAACATCAAGCGTTCCTGCCAGGCCATAGCCAGGACGGCACGGCAGCATCCAGTTCATCTGCTGAACGGGTTGAAAAATGGGCAGAAGATGTTGGGATGAAATCGCCTGAGCAAGAATCACCAAACTCTGCCCATGAACAAGAAGCAACAGGCGCCGACGATGATGAGAGAAAAGGACACTTTGACCGTCCTTTGCGCGAGGTGCGTGTTGGTGAGTCCCCAAGCAGGCCTTGGGGAATACCGGTTCCAGTTTCCCAACCTTCTTTCACATCTGCCATACACTCGCCGCCTACTCCGCCCTCAGACTCTGCCAAACAGGCATTGAAAGAACCATCTGACCTTCCTGCACCTGCGGACCCTGCCAAAATTTCGTCTTCTGGCATGAGAACTGGCCGTTGTCCTTTCGGTCATGATGCTCCCAAAGCGAACGACCCAAGGCACGATCTGGAAATTGAAACCGCCCATAACGAAGCAAGCAAGAGCGAAGCGCCAGACACACCTCGGCCCCCTCACGAAGACAGTGCGGAGGGTTATTTCCATACTGGCCAAACCAACCCAACCTCGTCCGCAAAAGTGGTCTTCAATGGACCGGTTTTCTTCGGGTTCTCACCGGAGCAAACAGCATCGTTTCTGCACAAATTGGGCAATACAGTGCCAGGCAAGCCATTATAACTCCGAAGTATCTCGGTAGTGGTGTCGAAATACGCATCAGAAGCATTTGGTCTACCTTGCCAATACGGTAGTCACTACTAACCCTCACGACGTCATGATTTGCATATGATGACTTTGTATATTAGCTTACATACCATTTGACTTCTTCTCCTTAGCGTTAGAAGCATTTTAACCTGGCATATAATTCAAGCGGTACTAAGTGGTCTTTCCATAATCTAGATGCGCCTTTCTTATGACATTATTCGGTGGGGAATGTCAGTGGGGGGGAGCGAACCATCAACAACTTTCCCGCGGAATAGATAGAGGTAACCTCACACAACCCCTCCGCCCCTCATGCTTAAAAGCAGCTCTCGTCTTCTCTCCCCGTACCGCTCCTCATCTCTATCTCGTCTTATAACCTCATCTCCTCGATTTTCTGCTCATTACCCTTTTACACGCACCTACCCGACCCCATTTCACCGCCAATCCGTCAACATGTCTGGCATGACTCCCGTCTTCACAAAGGATGCCTGCCCTCGTAAGTCTGAACCACCATTGACCTTCCGGGTTACAGTGCCGGTGTAGAAAATCAAATGAGAGCAAGTTCACTAATCAATTGATCGCTACTGTAGCTGCCGGTCCCTACGTAAGTACTACACTCGAGCCCAAATTCGAAAGTCCGAAACTAGAATCTACGCCCCCATACCGATTCCCATGAATCCAAGACACATCAATTGACCCTTCGCCAAATGACTTAGTCCCAAGCCATCCGTGCCAACGGGCAGCTCTTCATCTCCGGCCAGATCCCCGCTGACGCTAGCGGCAACCTCGTCGAGGGCAACATCGGCGAAAAGACACAGGCCTGCTGCAACAACATCAAGGCCATTCTGGACGCTGCCGGGTCCAGCGTCGACAAGATCGTCAAGGTCAATGTGCGTTAATACCATTTGTGTTATTCCCCATGATCCAACGATTGCGGAGAATGTGGGGTTGGTGCTGACTCTGCGATTGTCCGGTCACAGGTCTTCCTCACTAATATGGCCGACTTCGCCGAGATGAACGCTACTTATGAAAAGTTCTTCACCCACAAGCCTGCTCGTAGCTGTGTTGCTGTTGCTCAACTGCCTAAGGGGGTGCCGGTCGAGATTGAGTGCATTGCTCTGCAGTAAACTAGATCATCTCACTAGAAAAAGGTCGTCTATATATGGAACGAATTTGTCCGAAATGAGAGACGAATGGATTTCAACCATGATGCAATAATAGCCCCAATTGCCCATGAATTTCATTGTCATTAACAATTAGATTCTCGTTATATGTTTTCTGTCTAGGTTTCATATTCAACACTATCAATCCCGCGAAATAAATGTAAATTGCATCTGAAACTCGCCAAGCAAACAAAATTTGGGAATCATAAACTTCATGTGGTCGAATGGTGCTAAAATGCAGAAGTGCAGACGAAACAACAAGGGCAACAAAAAGATGATCAGTAATAGACACGATCATGCCAGCACGCTCCCAAGTTACCTTCGTCCAAGTGTGCCCGTCATTCTTCCACCCATACCTGCCATAAGACTTTGCTTCACGATAGCATCCGCAGCAGCTGCAGCTGCGAGTCTTTCCTTTTGACGGCTTCGATCACGTAGATACCCAGCGGCTTCTGGTCTCATACGGAGAATCCGTAAAATCATATCATCATTTGGCTCTGCCTGAGCCTCACGCCTTCTCTCCTCTTTCATCTTCTTCATTGTCCCGAGATTCCGCGACAGCATGATGCTCTTGACTCGCCGCGTGTTCGGCACCCCAAGGATACTGCCAGTTCCCCCAGATCCGATATGTGGTGGCGCTGACGCTCGGTTCTTATTCACTTGCTGCCGTGATATCGTCGCTGATGCCATGCGTTCAGAAGTACGGATCAAGCTCTCTGTGGGTTCAAAATAGAAGAAGTTCAGGGTCTGGATCTCGTGGTACTTGGGTGATTTCAGAATATCGAGTGAGACGCCGTGGGCTTCACCAGTTTCTTCATCAACAGCATGGAAGAAATTCAAGAGAAGTACAAGCCAACGCGACACAATGTCAACTTCTTGCATCGTAAGAGGTTTTTGATGAGAAGGTTTATCCGACAAGGGAGGAACCAGCAGGCCTTCGATGGTGGCAAGAACCTCTTTCCACAGGCGCGCCATGACCATTTTCATTGCTTCAGACGTAAGAGTTTTGTTCATGATTGCAAAGTTATCGTTAAAATAGTCAAAAAGCGGTTTGAGTGCATTCTCCACTTCTATAGCGGATGGAGCTGTTGTAGTGTTTTGCGGACGATTTCGGCTCAGGAAGTTAGACACACTAGAGATGCTAAGGCCTCTGGACAACAGGGATTTGAGAGTTCGTCGAGACAAGCAATGACTGATGTACGCAGAAAGCTGGAAGAATGGTCAATGTCCTGAAGACAGGTCGATCGGCTATGGAAGGATGACCTACCTTTTCGGTGATTTTGCGAGTCATATCTCTTTCGGTACGTTTTAACGTCCGAAACGCTTTGCCGAAATAGAACTGGATGTCATCGCGCTCCCCTTCCATGCTGACACGAAGTAGCAACCTGCCCTGGGTGTCTAGATCAAGCCAGTACTCCCTCGGAAGAAAATCACTGAAATGTACGGGATCGAGTTTGATCGAAGTGCGACCAACATAGTCGTGATCACCAACTGCATCCCAGTCCCAGATGGTCGCAATGATATTTAGCGGTCCTTGTGTTGTTATGTCCACAGCATCATCCCATCGTGGGTTCAGGTTGTTGTAGATGATTCGAGTCTTCGCAATTCGCTTCTGATACTCATCTGTGAGAACAACGTAAGGATCACTGCTGCCATTCATGTCACAGGCTTTGAGATCTTCGGCTTCCACGACCTTTATCGTGAAAACGTAGGTTATTGATCTGCGGATTTTCTGTAGCTGCGGTCCCGCATGCTGTGCAATCACTTCAGCACATCCGTCGACATTGATCTCACGCTCAAGCGTGTCGAGTTGCGAGAGGGCATATTCGATATTATTCAGTTTGACGAGAGACTATAATTTTTTGGTCAGATACCCGGGACCAGGCGCTGCACTTCGAATGATATCGCAAGCTTACCTCCGGGAGAAATTGGAAAGGCTCAATTTTTTCCTTGCTTGTCCATGCTTCCTTCGCCATTTGCATTATCTTTTCCTGCGTAGTCTGATTCATGGCTGCCTCTTGATCAGGAGACAGCCGATCCATTTCTCTGGAAAACATTTGTTCCAACGATTCGCAGTATCGTGCCACACCCTTCCCAATAGACTTAGAAAGGGCAGTCATAAATTTTGCGTACTGCAAGTCATCGTCCCACCCAAGCTGAATCATCTGTTCAATCACTTGATTGAAAGAGCGGAATATGTCGATTACCGACACGCTGTGTCGGTAGTCTTCAGGAACAACATCTGTCCAGTCACCGGCCCGGACAGTGAAGGAATCTTGTCGAACTGCCTGTTCAACCCAGTCCATGACTTTCTGATCAGTTAAGCGTATCCAGCGCCATACAAAGTCTTCCAGAAGACTTTCCACGTGGAAAGGGAAAGTGACACTGTCTCAGCGTCAGCAACAAATACACCACAACGACGAACGAGTTTCTTACTCAGGAAAGGCCTCTACAAAGAGCCGGCGCGTCGCTGTCAGTTGTTTGTACAAGTCAAAGCCATCTTCCAGCTCAACATCCTCCCCTCTCGATTTGGCTTGTTCCACAATTCTGACGACCATCTCATGGGCATCTTCCGCAAATATAGGGAGGATATTTGTAAGTAGAATGTTATAGGGATTTACCCTAATATCTGTCAGCCATGAAGATTGCGCTACTGAGAATTAGCCTCTTACCCCATAATTTCCGGATTATTTCGATACCGCTTCCGTATCTTCTGTGCGAGTTTCATGATGGCATCGCCGAGCTGGATGACGTGGTGTGGCTCCCAGGTTTCTGCCTCCACTGGGACAATCTGTCCTAAAAGTTCTTGGTACTTCTCAGTTGCCTTTTGCGCGAGACCGTCCTGCACATAGGAGCGGAACCGATCGATATCTTCCAAGTCTTCGGTGTAGTTCGGGTCGAGCTGTATGTGGTTCTCCAAGACGTACATCACCGGGCCAATAGGACGAGGCTTAGCTTCAAAACAATCCATCATTACATCGTAGAGTTCCCGGAGTAAAGCTTCGTGGAGGGAGGATAGTAGCTCTTGCATCAACAGAAGATCCTGGATTGTCCATTTGCTCCTGTCAAATATAACAGAGGCCATAAAACTTTGCCGTTTCTTGCCCTCTGACGGAGGTGTTTCTTTAACAAACGTAAAGGCAGAATCAAGAGTGTCAAGATCTATCTCGTTGTCCACGAACTTTGTTCTTATGATGTCCAGAAACAATACAACCCTGGAGAAGCTCGGTATTCGCCAGCGAAGGCATACTTCATTCAGCAGCTCTGTGGACTGTTTGGAGAGTAGTTTCATTGATGGTGTTTCTGAAGTAGCTGCCGTAGCTTCGATCTCGCGATCCTTTAGATCGTGACTCAGGGTCAGACCCAGAATGAATTTGTACATTGACCTTGGATCCGACGGTATGAAGGTGTACGTATCAGATTCCTCAGAATTATTATTTGAGTCGTCAGACAACGACAGAGAACTCAGGTCGATAGGTTGGTCAATCACGTAGGAGACCGGCCGGTCAGACATTGTTCGAGTTAGCGGTCCAGCGTTTGGATCGTTGCTCGGGTCAGCGGCATTCGCATTGAACTGCGGAAGTGCACCGCCTGGGGTACTTTTTGCGAGCTCTGGATTTGACTGTACGATAGCCAGCATCATTTGCGACAAATCCGGGCTCTCACTCTTCTTCCAGTGTTCATAAGCTTCCTCGTTATCAAAATCTTCCCTGGATAGCGTCTTCCGCGTCTGAAGGTTCAGGTGAGCCTGATAAGTTTTCAAGTCCTGAAGAGCTGCCTTTTCGGTCCATACGGCTCTGTTCTTGTCAATGTCGGACTGAATCTGGTGGGTATTTATGCCAAATATCTTCGCGACATGCTGCACGAGGGGCATGTCTCTAACATCGTAGCTGAGAGAAGTTGTCGTCTCAACCGTCGCCGTCGGTCCGCTCGCTTGCATAAGATCATGATCATGGGAAAGAAGTTTGTTCTCTAGAACAGATAACCTGTTTGCGAGTTCAGGCCGATCTTTGTCCCAGTCATGGTCTTTAAGGATCAGCGCAAACAGCCGAACGAAAAGGGCGACATGTCTGTCCACCATAAATTTCCAACTATCGTCGTCTGAATCTTTCCCCTTACTCAGCTCTTTTGTCGCATTTGAGTAGAAAATAAGGACGAGATCCTCCGCTCGGCGATCCTTCTCCATCCGCTTCTTGAACGACTGATCTTTCAAAGTGTTGAGAAACGCGGCGAATGTCCTCACGACCAGGTGATCTTGATATTCCTTCCTTCTCTCCTTCCCCATAAGAACTCCCGTCAACCTCTTCTCAAGCTCAGACACGAAGCCATTTGGGAACCTCGTGCTCTTTGAATCTCTAACCAGCGAGAAATCGCTCATCAAATCATGGAAGGAGGTTGATGCCCGTTTCGGGCGCGGCTGCGGAGTGGCAGAGACATTCTGTATCCGGCGAGAACGAGGATTCAAAAGGTAGGTGAGATACGCGACCCGTAGAGCATAACTGTAGGCGGCCGAAGAGTTCACCGGGCGCCTGCGCGATGCGGACAGATTGCGGGAATGACGAACTTCATTCTGAAGACTGTTAATCCGTCGGTTTATGCCTCGGGACTGAGTGGATGATGTCGACATGAGGAGATTTTCTCTCTCTCTCTCTCTCCCTCTCTCACTATTTCACAATTCAACTGCACTTAAGGAGAGGGAAAGGTGCGGAGACCATGGGATTAGAGGATTCACGACCAAACCACTAGCCAGCGCGTACTGTCAAATCAAATTTCATAAAGCGCGAAATGAAGGGTCGATTCGCAGAATCAGGAATGCGGGATGGGAGTGAGGGGTTGACCCTTCAAGAACCAAGATGGGTTTGTTTAAGAAAGGGGTGCGGGAGAATGTTTTTGTTGCACCTGAAACACAAAGCTTCCCGATAAACTGACGTAGTTACAGTGGCCCTTCTGCCCAAGAGCCTCGATCAGTGTCGCAACACTCAGCAAGGCTACTCGCGAGCTAAGTATTTCTGATTTTCTACACTGCTTATTATTGAGCGCTTATTGAATCAACTCTATGTAAATTGTTGAGGTGCACATAATATGAACGCGGCTATAATAGTACATGCAATACTCTGCCCTAGGTCCATATTTCAGTATGGTGTTCCCCAGCGGTCTCTATCTGCTCTTTATTCCGGTTTAGAGTGCCATCAGTGAAGGGAATTTGACGAGGCCTCTGGAGTAGCTTGACGCCCTAGGAACCTGGTCTCCATCTGTCGTCCTGTTCCTTCGATGGCCAAATCCGCTGCAGTCTTGGTCTGCTTTGGTTCAGGACGTGCTACATTATGGGCAACTGCAAGCCAATGATCGACATCGACATAGTCCTATCCCACATAGGACAAAGTACCCCAGCACTTAAACGCTGGCAGTATGAGAAATTGATCCATCCCGCATCGATATAGGCACATAAATTGCCCTTCCGCACTTATATGAATTGACAATCAGACCTTTGATTGAAACCGTAAAAGAAAAACTGCACTGTAGTATTTACACAATATGAAATCAAACCACTACCGAGAGTCCTCACCGGCCTTGCGAGCCTGCATATCAATGTCAGTATGATTCTCCATGCCACCAGTGCGAAGACACGGTTCATAAACGTACCGGAACAGCACTCGCACCGCCAAGCTCCTTCTCCAAGCCGTCGGGATAAGTTTTTGGGACGCTGGGCTTGTCAGGGTAGTACAGGCTCACGACGCCGCAGAGAGTAAGGAAGGTTGCGATGAAAGCTCCAATCTGGAACAGCCCTTTGCGGGGTGTGACATGGGTATATGCTTCGGGACTGAAGACGCCGAGAATTTCATTCTCCTCGTGAACCGGCTCGCCGAAGTTCCTTCTCTCCTGCTTATCCCACCAGTCGCCGTAGGGGTCTCTGAAAGCACGCTTCACACGAGGAGGGTTCTGATAACCTCCGTTCTAGAAGCGGGCCGAAGGTGTCAATTGGGGAAAGATCCAGCACCCGGGGCACGATAAACGACATACCTGCAAAGGATCATCGATCTCAGCTGCAGAAAGACTCCGGATTTGTGAAAATGAGGCGCGCGGAGCGGTAAAACGAGCAGCAACCTGGGGCAGGCGCCGGGTCAAAATCCGCGAGGACAGCATCTGCGTGCGACTCTTAGCGACGGTTAAAAGGCCGTAGAATTTGACATTGAGGTAGACTTGGAGATGGACTCTTACCGTTTTGCTGTGTTAGAATGCCGAACTGGTGAGTTTGGGAGCAAAAGAAGGGCAAATATGCTCACTCAAAGGGAGTGGAAGTGCAATGACGGGGTTCGGATTAATTGGAGGTTTGCGGAAGCGATAGTGACAGAGCTTTACCGCCTCAGGCAACAAGCTGCCAGAGCCCCCGGCGCGCTTACATACACGTCGCCTCGTACTCTCCGTCACCAGATGAAAAAACCACTCCTTCATACATTTTGTCGATCAAGGTGCTTTTTCAACCGCCAGCCACGCTATCGTGCCGATAACTATGCCAAACTTTCTGTGGCATCTCTACCAGTTCATACCTATCTATTGATGTTAAATTTATCCCGTCTGACCGCGTCCTCGTTGGGAAAACTGGGGTCAGCCGCAAAGAGGGCCCCTGTCGTCCGTGGTAACAAGACATGCAAGACGGAAGCTTGAATGGTCTATCACACCACAACGATGAACGCGTGACTCTTGAGAAAGAAGAGAAATCATTGAATACCCCTGCTCTAGATGATTCACCTGATTCTACGAATCGCGATTTAATCCCCGCCGAGTCCAAGGAAAATGGAGTCCCAACCGATCCGACCGAGGAGCCTCCGTCGAAGAGACGAAAGCTTGCAGGATCAGACAATTCGCGCCGTTCAACACCTCGACCACCGTCACCTCCCTGGAAGAAAGCAGGAGTTGAAGGGCCGACCTCATTCCTGCAGGATGGGAAGCGGAGGTCTTCCCGAGTCAATGCGATTCCCCTTGAGTTGCAGCCTCCGTCAGACAAGCGAAAAACGCGTGCAGCGCAGAAATCTACCGTAAATAAGAATCTTTCCGGTGGTGGGAAGGTCGTCGCTTCGTCGCCGCTGTCTATGAGTGTGTCACAGTCGGGTATGAATGGGAAACATACCAGTGGCAACTTAACGACTAGATCGCCGAGGGCTGCGACTCCAAGGGGCGCAAGTGCCAGGCGACGCCGTATCTCACGATCACCAGCACCCAGGCAAACTCACTCACGGACGAGATCTCAAAGTTTCAGTACTTCAGTCCCTAATGGCCCTATTTCGAACAAAGCACGATCGAACCGATCCCCCTCGAATGCCACTTCAACGTCCATAATCGGAATTGATGAGTCGAGGAATGATATCGGGCCCGAGACTGAGTTAGGAGACGAACAGGGTCAGCGAGTGCCGAGGCTGCGAATTAAAGTCAAGAAGCCTGTTATTGGGTTCCAGCATCCTTCTCATGTGGTCGCTCCCCGGAAATATAATTCTTTCAGGGAATGGCTTGAGAGCCGGGAAGGTAGAATAGAAGAGGGTGCGGTCCTTACGTCCGAGGCAGCGCTCGAAGAAGCTCGGAAGAGATGTCGAGTCTTGGAAGCCACAGAGCCTGGCGGTCTTCTGAGCCCTGAGGTATGTTCCGCATACTTACCGGAGCAACAGGAAGAACCAGCGCAACAATATTCACATCAAGACCACCTCGTCGCTCATGCCTTGTACTTCAAGAAGCTTCTTGACCAGGAGCACCGACGCCATCGCAATACAGCAAGGCTTCTTGCTCAGTGGTGTGCTGACGCGTGGAGGAAGCGCAATAAGCGCCCAGAGGATATTCTCAGAGAGCAACAGGAAGAGGTGCGCGTAAAGCGCAAGCAACTGGCTAAGGATCTTCAGAAAATGTTCGACTTGGCCCGGGCGGAGGTTGATCGGGTGCGTCTAGCACGCTGGGAGGAAGAGCGGAAAGTGGAGGATCAGCGGGCTTTAGATCGCGCAATCAAACAATCTACCATGCTGTTCGAGAAAAGGCGCCTGGAAATTCTTGGAGAGACTGGCAGTGATTTCCCTGATTCAACCGATGCCGAAGAGAGTGGAACGGATGTGACTTCCAGCGATGAGGATGATGATGAAAGCAACATGTCCTCTACGGCTTCGGAAACTGAGGATGGAGACGAAGTTGACGATGATGAGGGGTTGACGGCGGAAGAGCTCCGGCAGAAGTATGCTGATTTGCCCCAATCCACCTTGGTTTCAGACCGTGAATCTGTGGCTTCCGACAATAGCGAGTCTTCCGATGGCACACATACCTCACATATACCTCATAAAACGGAGGACATCAATGATTCTCAGGGCGGAACGCCGCTGGAGCAGATTGAGCTGGACGAAGTCGATCCAATGCTCCTTGATGATAGCGAAGACGAATCTACGGACATGGATGATGATATGGGCGATAGTGAGGAGGATGGAGATGCCGACGACACAGACTCGGATGAGGAAAACGACGATGGACCGGGACTATTAGGATTCTTCTCATCAAAAGATAGTGGGCTGAGTGATGCTCAGCACTTTGACGATGAAGAAGGTGATGATTCTTTAGCTAATCTGAATCATGACGATGGCCTTGGGTTCGACGATGGTGGGCAATCAGATTCAGCCGACGAGGACGACGATGAGGAACTGGAGGATGCAGACGAGGTTTCTCTGGTTCCAAATGGTCCTTCAAACTCGGGATCTATCTCTCAGGCGACGGCCGAAGTTTCTCCTGTAACCGACACTCCTGATGGAAAGCAAGCTGGAAAGGCTGAAATGATCGATGCCGATATGACCGCTGCTGCTCCTCCCGAAGATCCAGCCGCCCTCGAGAATTCAGCCCCTCTTGAAGATCCGGTTGTTATTGACACACCGCATGATGCGATGGAAGAAGGTCATCGCCAGCAGTCTCCCTCTTCGATCAATAACTTGGATGAGCAAGAACTTCGCCAGAATGGAGGGGCATCTAGCGAAGCATCTCCTGGTACGCTTGCGACAAAACCCTCTGAACCCGAGTCCGTTTCTTCTTTCGAAGCGCCCGGCGAAAAGCCGCCTCAGCCAAGTGAATCTCCCGCTCCTGGGTTGAAGACGCCGATACCGCACCTACTCCGGGGAACCCTGCGAGAGTATCAGCATTATGGGTTAGATTGGCTTGCCGGACTCTATAACAACCACATCAATGGTATTCTTGCTGATGAAATGGGTCTTGGCAAGACTATTCAGACGATTGCTTTGCTTGCACACCTGGCCGTGGAACATGAGGTTTGGGGTCCACATCTGGTTGTCGTCCCAACGAGCGTGATTCTCAATTGGGAGATGGAATTCAAGAAATGGTGTCCCGGTTTCAAGATCATGACTTACTATGGCAGCATAGAGGAACGCAGGCAGAAGCGCAAGGGTTGGACCGACGATACGAGCTGGAATGTATTGATCACCTCTTATCAACTGGTGCTGCAGGACCAGCAGGTCCTGAAAAGAAGAAATTGGCATTATATGGTTCTTGATGAAGCTCATAATATCAAGAACTTCCGCTCTCAAAAGTGGCAGACATTGCTTACTTTTAGGACCCGCGCACGGCTGCTTCTTACAGGTACACCGCTCCAGAACAATCTCACGGAACTATGGTCTCTTCTCTTCTTCTTGATGCCTTCTGACGGTGACGGGACTGGCATTGAGGGATTTGCGGATCTCAGAAACTTTTCTGAATGGTTCCGCCGCCCCGTAGAGCAAATCTTGGAGCATGGCAGAGAAACTATGGATGATGAGACGAAACGAGTGGTTACGAAACTCCATACTATCTTGCGTCCTTACATCTTGCGCCGCCTCAAAGCCGACGTCGAGAAGCAGATGCCAGCAAAGTACGAGCACGTCGTTTATTGCCGACTTTCGAAAAGGCAGAGGTTCTTATATGATGGGTTTATGTCCATGGCCCAAACGAAAGAAACGCTTGCATCTGGCAATTACCTCTCTATTATTAACTGTCTGATGCAGCTGCGCAAGGTTTGCAACCACCCGGATCTCTTTGAGACCCGGCAGATATCGACGTCATTTGTGATGCCTAACTCCGTGGCCACTGAATATGCAAGCAAGGAACTACTCGTTCGGCGGCGGTTGCTATATGAACATCCCCTCACCAAGCTGGATTTGGACTTTCTCAACCTGGTTCCTATCTCGAGAGAAGATATCTCGCGAAGGTTGGCAGACGATAGTACTAGGCTAATGGCTTACGGACCCTTCAACATGCTCCGAGAACGTCAGTACAAGCGCACGAATTGGCAAATGATGTTCGACGGGTCTACGGTGCAGTCGACGCTCGAGGCATTGGAGAACGATGCCAGAAAACGCAGGATGGCGGAATTGGAACGGTGTCTTTACTTCGAATCGAAACGCCATGGCCGTCGACCAGTTTATGGGACCAGTCTCGTCGAATTTCTCACTGCGGATAGCAAGCAGAGACCAACTCTGACTGGTCGTCCCCAAAAGCAGTCTCTCGCGGAGTGGTTGTCAAATCGGTCATCTGTTCTCGCATCGATGATTTTGTCCATCGAAGAGCGGTCCCAAGCCATGGATGGTTACGTCAGACGTTTCGCCTGTGTTACGCCAGCTGCAGTTGCCTCTGGTATTACAGAGGCAGCTTTGACTCCTGTTGAAACCCGTTACTTGACCGAAAAAGAGCGCTTCCCTGCTTATGATCCGTTCCACGAGGCCCAGATGCGTCTTTCAATTGCTTTTCCAGACAAGAGGCTGTTGCAATATGACTGTGGGAAACTGCAAAGGCTCGATAAGTTGCTCCGGGATCTCAAAGCCGGTGGTCACCGAGCCCTGATATTCACGCAGATGACCAAAATGCTTGACATTCTGGAGCAATTCCTCAACATCCATGGGCACCGGTATTTGCGACTAGATGGTACAACCAAAGTGGAGCAGCGCCAGATTCTGACCGACCGGTTCAACAACGACGATCGCATCTTGGTGTTCATTCTGTCCAGCCGATCCGGTGGCTTAGGTATCAACTTGACGGGCGCTGATACTGTGATCTTCTACGATCTTGACTGGAATCCGGCCATGGACAAGCAATGCCAAGATCGGTGCCACCGTATTGGGCAAACGCGAGACGTCCAC